TCTTAAATTATAGCTTTGTTTTTATAATCTGTTAATATCAGGGAAGGTAATAAAGGCAGTGATTCCAAAATAAATAAATAAATAAAAGTTGCGGATGGTCCTGCTTTGAAGAAATTGAACTAGATGACCTCCTGAGGTCCCTCCTGTGGTGGGCCAGTAGGGGGTGCTCCTGCATTGAGCCACCCACCTCACTGCACCTGACCACCTTCCAGGCTCCGACTGCCTGCCTGAGGGTGCCTCACGTTCAGCCAACCTCCTTCCTGGAGCACACCCACAAGCCTGGGGGTAACGCCACCACCATCCAGGGTCTGGATTGATCTTGGACCTGTGCCTCCTGGGAAACACAGGCCTAGTAGTCCTTAAGGGTACTTGACCTACTGCAAGAACTTGGGGTGCTTCCCTGAGTCTGAAGCAGAAATAGTGGTGTCCCTTATTTAGCTGAACCAAGGGGACCCCAAGGCATAATTTAGAACCTCTCCTAATAAGTCTCCCATGCTAGGTATAAAGGAGAACTTTATTGGTAACAACGAGTAGGTTTAGAATAGGGTACAGGGTAGAGAAATACCACAGAAATACCTTGGAGCAAACTGCAGCATGGTAGCCTTTGATCATGCATCTGACTTACTACAAGCTATATATCTAGTTAGATCTTAAGTAGCTTAGTCACAAGTATCATCCAGAAGCAGGTGGAGATTCCCTCTGGAGGCAAGCAGGTCATTCACCATGAGTTTCAAAGGAGAGCATGAGTTTCAGGTGGTCCAGCTTCTCTGAGAGTTCTCATCATGGCTGTTGCCTTGCCTTCTGGGCAGTCCTTAACTTATATAGACCTTATGACCTCATTTACCTGGTCAAATGAAGGCCAGCAATTGTTGGCTGCCAGCCAACCAATTTGAAATGCATCACTGGTTGCCAGGTAGACTGGCAGGGTCTCTAGCCCCTGCCCAGTCATGATGGCATTGCTTAGAACAATAGGGAGTTTAAGCCCCCACTCAGGTGTGTGAGGTCACTCACGCAGGCAGAGGAAACAGGTTTCCCCCTCCCTCAGGAATGTATCCAGTTCAGGCTACAATTCAGGGTTACCTGAAGCCCCGGGGTCTAGAGGTGTCTGCCCTCTGCTGTGACCATGGTAACCAAATTGTCAGATTAGGCATCCACCTGATGGCAGACGTTGGGGAGAAACAGAGATGGCATTCTACCATACCTCCAACCCTCATTTTCTATGATTCTGTGATATTTTTAAGAGGAATAATAGCTGTGTTTCATCTTGTTCTGATCTCAGTCCTTGTATGGGACTGAAAAATTTGACAGGAACAAACATGTAGTCAGGAGCCTGATCTAAAGTATGGAGCACTCTGGGCAGAAATCATCAGAGGGCTTAGGTTAAGTATAAGTGGTGAGACAAAGCAAGACGGGCATGAGGAGAGGGAGAACATGAAGAAAGTAGTAGTACCTGAGGTTTGCAGAGAAAACAGTTGACTGGCTTTGCAGTGGAAAGGGAAGTATGAAAACTTGAAGATGTAAATTAAAGAGTATTTCTTGTCATGATGTGGCGGTCATGGTCAAGGAAGCCGAAGCCCGCTTCAAAACACCATTCCCATAGTCGCCAGTTGGTCTCTGCGATGCATGATTCGTGCCGTCTGGCCCGTCCACTCACTGGAAGGATGGAAGAGAAGACCACCTGTGCGCCTGTCTCCCTCAGCACGCCCCCCAGAGCTCGGTAATCTTCCATCAGGCGATGGAATGAAGGAGGCACTAGAATAGTACAAGTAAAGCTGACCATGATGTCTCTGGAACACATACTAGTGTAGTCATCGGATTGTGAAGGGGATTGTAGAAGGTGAGTAGAGGGAAGGGCGGCTAATCAGGTTCTTTTCTTAAAAGAGTTTATCAACTCTATTTAAAATGAAAAAAAACATTTTTATTAAGGTAGCTCTCATCTACTTCAACCATCCACTAACATGTCCATTTTGTCTATATAATTATTGCACTCCAAATGTAACAGTGTTATAGTCTATTCTTGAACTTATTGGGTACCTTTCCATCTTACAAAATATTACCGTTATGTGAAACATTTTGCATTTGATACTCTGATTCTTTTCTGAAAGGGAGAGGGAAACTTTCTAAGAAATCTTACTGTGGTAGAGTATAGGGGATCTACTTTAGCCATATCAATTAATAACACTTACAGCGTTTAGATATCTTTGTAAGAAAAGTGCACTTTACAGTGGAGTTCAGTATTATTATCTCCATTTTGCCGATGGGAAATTGGGTAGATAGAAGGGAAATTATTTGTCCAATGTAATCTAGAGGTTAGTGACAGATAGAAATAAAACCCAGATTTTCTAAGACCTACTGTTAGGGTGTCTGCTTGCTAGGCCATGATGAGTGAAGAGATGCTGAAAAACACCCTAACGTTTCCAATTGTCACTACAAGTTTTAAAGTAAAAGCTGTATACAAGAAAACGCATCTTAACCTGTCAAAATATCTTCAAAATGCATGTTTTTTTCTGTATCTAGAATTGGATTATCCCTGCTCAAGAAAACAGCTTGTTTCTGCAAGGGCAATTTACTGAGTTATAAGATTTAACAGATAGATTGCATAGTTATGCAGATTAATGATCTATGCTTTGGGTGTGTAGTAAAGCACACAGAGATGTCCACAGCTTCCAGAATCACACTTGCAGTATCATAGAAGTGCCATTAATCAATATAGTATCTCTAGTATCTTCTGCTATTATTATAGTGGAGTTAAATGAAATCTGACTTTTTGAAATCTAGCATCCTATTTTTTATGACCTCATCCTTTCCTATCTCTAGATCTGGAATTCTGTCATATAATTGTGTTCTCCCAAGTTGCCCATCACCTTCACCTTCTCCATCAGTTCTTCCCTGTTGGTCAGGACAAGATCCAAGATGGATGACCCCTTAGTTGTATTGTCCACGTTCTGGAACAGAAAGGTGTCCTTAACACAAGTTAGGAACCAGCTCAACATTTATGTTTGGCTGCATTGTTCTTCCAGCAGATGTCAGGAAAATTGAAGTCTTCCATCAGTACTATTCTCTAGCTTTTGGATAGATTTGTCACCTGTTTGAAGAGTGCCTCATCAACCCCCTCTTCCTAATTTGGTAACGTATAATAAATCCCAATCATTATATCATTGCTGCATTTTTCATCCTTCATCATTACCCAGATGCATTCTCTTTGCTGTCGTCTTCCTCCTGAACTGGGGGACAAGTGTGTCTGTTTGACATACAAGCAAGACCTTTACCCTTTCTACCAACTATGTCCTTCCAGAACAGAGAGTAACCCTTGATATTGACATTCCAGTCATAAGACCTATCCCACCAGGTCTTGGTGATGCCAGTCAGATCAAAATTCTTTTTGTAGAATGCAGCTTCCAGCTTATCATGCTTATTCTCCATACTGCCATTTGTATGTATGCATCGGACTTATTGATCTACTTGCTTCCCTTTTGCACCATTTGTTGTAGTCCTGTATCTCTCTGGCCCTATCCCAAAGTTAAGTTGTTTCTTCAAGACCTTTTTCCTCTGGACTGTGTGCTCTGTTACTGGAAGGTTGTGACCACTGTCAAAACTGGATTTTGGGAACCCAGCCCTTATACTTTTGTTCTGGGTGAGCACAAACCTCAGAACATGCACAACACCTGCCAGTTGATAATAGGCGAGTTTATTGATACAGAATGATAACAAAAAGCAACAATACAAACAATCAAACAGTTCTACATCTACCAGTCCTAGGGCTGTCATCACAGTCAAAATACATCTGGTCAGGATGCAGGCTCCACTCTGAGGCTCTTTCTCTTAGGTGTCAGCAGTCTGGAGGTGGGATGCCAAGGCCCACAGCCTCCCTCCAGCAGGGTGCATGAGACAGGCTGCTGGTATGCCCTCAGTCCGTGGTGGCCTCAAGGAGCCTTCCCGGGGGATAGGGACCCCTCTCAAGGAAGAGGAGGAGGGACAAGACAAAGGGAAGGACCCTTTGTTAATCTCAAGTCTCTGCTTTTGTATTCTTCCTCCTTGATGATGCCTGATGACTCTTCATCCACAGCTATCTCTAGTTGGTTGTCTCTCTGTGGTCACATGTTCATGTAACCTTCTGGGCCTTTTCGTAATTTGGTCTGTTCTCCGCCAAACCAGGACTGCTGCCTCCCTCCCCTACCCCCTTGCCCCCCTTGCTGCTCTGGGGCCTTGTTGCTGGTGTCACTTATATTGTGTTATGGGACAGTATGGTACATACTTCTTTGGTTCCCTGGATGTGTGTCCTTGTTGTGTTAGACAACCTGTCTGCCTTGAGGGCTGTGTTCTCGTGTTATGGCATGCCCCCCTTAATTTTCAGGCTGTGTCCATCTGTTACCTCAAGTTACCATTCCAAGAAACAATGAATCAATCTCAGTCTGAATTTCTGAATAACCCCGAACAATTCTTAATACCCCTCCAGATGCCTCTGATATCCCATCCAAAAATGACTTGGGTGCTCATTTCAGGCTGAACTCAGATCCCTGGAGCTAAAATGAGATGCCTTAATCACTCTGCTGCAGTAGCACAGGAAGCTTGACTTCTCTAGACATATTCTTTCCACAAGTAATTGTGATCAGGGTGTCACTGATTAAATACAGTCATTTTGAAGGATACTGAAAAAGCTGCAGGATGTTATAGTATCCCTCAATATTCATCTTCTTATGATGGTACTTTAGCTGTGAGAGGACTTGTTTTATTCATTTGCTTTACACGTAGTATGTTATTTGTCATAGTAGACTTTTATCATCATCTCTATATTTTTAATATGTTGCATGTATATTTGATTGTATGAACAGTGGCATTTGCCATCTTATTTAGTTTTGAGATTTTAGAACAGGTTGAATTCAGAAATTCAGACTGAGATTGAGCCATTGCTTCTTGGAATGGTAACTTGAGGCAACTCATTCGTTTATAATTATTGCTTTACTAAAATACCTTTTTTAAATATCTTTTCTAATTTACAGGTAGTGGTTCAGTTCCAGATTTCTTTCGCATTATGAAGCGCCAGTTTACAGATGCTGAGTGGGGTGTAATTGAGTCCATGAACAATGAATGGATGCAGCTGGATATGTTTTATAGGCACTGGGTATTATATATATTTTGGTATTTCTTTTAAGAACACAAGGAATAACTATTAAATGTTTCTTTGATACCATGTTTTCTTAATGTCATGATGTAAACATTATGATTTGAATATCTGAGTGGCTATGTTTGGATCCATTCTTGCTGCCTTAGGGTGCCTTTAGGCATGCCAAAGGGTCACTATTTTACTTGGAATTCTAAGGAAGAATTGTATCTGGTGCTTTGACACTAAGATGGGACAAAAAGATTCCTAGTTCATCCAGGAAAGTCCAAAATCTGGCTCTTTATTTCTTAATTGTATGATGTTGTTTTATAATGAAGTATGCATTACAGCATCAGGTTATCTACTGTCCTTGCTAATTGAGGGGTGTGGGGTTGGGGGAAAGGGAGGAATGTGTGAAGAGATGGATTCTGCTGTTAGTAATTAGACTAATGTAAATGTAGACTAACCCTTATTTTTAACATCATAAAATTATTCATTTGAGCCAGTGTCTGATCAAAACATACAGTTATATTTAGTGCAACACATTTTCAGACATTAAAAGCAACACATATGAATTAAACTAATGTCATTCTATATTTTAGGCACTGAAAGAAAGCTTTATAAAGGCTATAGGCATTGGTCTAGGCTTTAATCTGCAAAGGATTGAGTTTAATGCATCCCCATTGAAGCTGGAAGTAGGAAAGGTATACAAGGAGACAAAAATGTTATTGGATGGGGATGAAGAAGAGGAGTGGACTTTTGAGGTAAGGACCCTTTCAAAAAATTGTAGTACAGCTATAAGCAATTTCCAACTAAATATTCTGGTTGTATTACAGATTTTAATTTTAACAGCAGCTTTTTGTAAAAATCCTAAACCACAATGCACTGCACTCGTCTTCCAGCATGTCAGTAGTTTCAACATAATCCAAGCTTTACACACATTGGCAAGGATCTTGGACAAGATTGTGATGTGTTTTATAGTAGAGTTCCTTCTAAAATGTGCCTACAAATATATAACTTAAAAATCCTGCAGTAATTTGATTTTCATTATTGTGCATCAGTATGTCTGTTATTCTTTAATTACTACCAGTAGCTTAATTTCATTTTTGTCTGGGGAATCTTTCTTCTTCCCTTTCCAGCTTCCTCTCCCCTCCCCACAACTGCCTCCCACTAGCAAACTGTTTCAGATAAGCAGATTGCTACATTTGGGGGAAAGATTTTTTTTCCAATTTCTTTTAGTTACCAGTTCAGTTGGCTATCAATCCAATTAACTGCCAGCATTAATTATAATTAAATTGAATGAATATTAAGTTTATTTCAGTTGCTTGTCCATAGCCTGAAATTAAGCACTGTTTTCCTGTTTAATCCCCCTTATTCTTTTTGTCTGTCTCTCCATTTCACCACTAAGCTTCTCTCTCTGCATTTTGTGCCCTGGTTCTTTATTTACAGTGTTAGGTCTGTAATCTCACATTCAATTAATATCACTTTATATCACACATCATTTACGGGAATCGGAACTTGTGGCAGAAGTTAGACCAACTAGATATTTGCAAATAAATATATAATTTTTTAAAGGTTTTGGATGCACACACGCTTCCTGAGGCATAAGAGAATGGAAAGATTGTAAAATTTCTCCTAGGTGGAAATGAAAATTCATATTTCACAGGAGAGCTGAAGGACTTCATTTTGTACAAATTAGGCTCAGATAAATGTTAGAACAGTCTGTGTATCTCAGTGTTGTCTGGTGTCAAGCAGGATGTTGAATTATGTTTCCTTCTGGTTATGATATTTTACAGGAGGATGATGTGTTGGATGCTCTCCTGAGTATCCCTGAAACATGGAAGTTATCAAATTTTAGCCATTTTTTAAATGAAAAGTTTATAAACTATCACCATTCAGAAAATTCCAAAATATGTAGAACACAGTGTCTTTTATTCAGCTGTGTGAATTACTGTGGCATATCAAACTTCCCTCTGTTGCCCATAGCTAGTGATCTCCAGAATTCATGCCAGAAGTTCACAGCATGGCAGCTTCTTTAATCTTAGAATTACCCCCATGCTGTCCCCAACTGCTGTTTGGCAGAGGCCCCACTGCTCACCACCCATGCCTGATGGCCAGGAGGCGAAAACCACAGCTGCAATTTCAGGCATGAGTGCCAAGTGATGGAGCCCGTCTGCCAATCAGCAGCAGGGGGTGTGCAGGGGAAACTCCAAGATTAAAGAAGCCACTGCGCCATGCCACACAACCCACTTCCAGCACGAATTTTGGAGATCCCTATTCATAGCATATTGAGTCAAATTCAAAATGTTGATTTATGTCTTCAAGGTTCTGAATGAAGTGAAAAGCTTTGGATATGTCTGAAGGTTTATGTTGTGGGCTTTGGTGGTCAAGTCCTTTTCCTACACGTGCTAGGCCTCTTCACCACAGGAAGACTTGAGTTGGACTGAGCGGACGTATCTCATCATTTCACAACTTCAGTGCAAAGTGAATTTTAGCATTGTCCTCAATAATAAAGCTCAGTCTAACTTATGTTAAAAGAATTCTTACATAAATTGAAAGAAGTAGAACCAACAAAGAGCTGCATGTTACTGATAGTAGTTGTGTTGTTCAGTGCATGAGTTGGCTAACCAGTGAAGTTCCATATCAGAATTGCTTTTCAGGATTTCAAAATTTGCTTTCATTTCCAGTTGAAACAAAGCCAAAATCATTTCAACATTTTTATAAAACAGAATTACATCTCAACATCCATTTTCAAATTGAAAATCTGACCTTTTTTCATTTGGGTTGGTCTCTATCTGTCTCTCAGAAACCTTTGAATCTTAGAAAACTTCATCAAAATGTATACATCCCCAGAAAATGTTTCAGCTTTAGTAGAAATGCTTTCAGTAAATATTTTTCAAGCAAATCAATTCAGTGTCCTTCATTAAATTACCTTGATGCTACTCCAACATGATTATAATGCCAAGAGTGGCCATGCTAGAATAAAATGTGCTTAGTTTTATTGTGAATCAGCACTTTTTGCTTAATACAAATCCTGTTGTAACATTTTATTTTTGTTTAGGGACCAGAAGCTGAATATGGCAAAATGAAATATCCCCTTAACATTTAAAGAACATTTTTATTTTATGAATAGTTCAACAGTTTTAAAATAGCATAGGCCTGGAACAGGCCTCCTGGGCCATTGAGTCTATTCCCCTGCATTTGCAAACAATTGTTTACCCAAAGATTCCAAAAAATCATTCACTGTACACTGTCATACATAACAGCTGCAAGGTACAAAGCCAGAAACAGAGAGTATCTTGTAACTAGCCACAGGTGAAAGAAGGGGAAGCAAACGCACTACCAATATCCTGTATTATATATGTTGTATACGTAATATACTGTAGTGGGGAAAGAAGGAATTGTTTGTTAAGGACAATGCCTAGTACTTCGGAGGAAGCTGAAAACTCCATGGTCTTTGCCAGTCTGACTTGGGGGAAAACAACCTGCCTGATCCCCATTGTGGCAGGGCACTAGGTGTGCCTGCTACTTTAAGGACCTGGAGCTGGCAGCCTCCAGGTGCCTAATGAGGGCAGCCGTTTTAGGCTCAGGGCTGTCTTATAAACAAGGCAGTTTGGCTGCTGGAGGTCAGGCAACAACATCGCGTGGCCTGAGGGCTGCCGAGTTTCATCTGGAGGTAAGGGAGGAGCTGTAGGGGATGGTAGGAGGCTCCTGGTCCTGGGTATGACCGAAAACTACACCCTGCCAAGAGTGGGTGGCCTGGTGGGGCTGAGACCCTGAGTAAAGGGGTCATTACGAGCAGTGTGGAGCCCCCAGTGTGAGGGGGGCAGCATGTGGAGCCCTGTGATGGGAGAGGGGGCTCAGCCAGAGAGAGAGAGCCGAGTCCTGACCCCAGTAAGTTCTCCAATGTGGGGAGGCAGAGTTTGGATCGAGTATAACACAAGTACACACTTCAGGAGGGATGTGGACAACATGGAGAGGTTCCAGAGGAGGGCCACTCGCATGATCAGGGGACAGCAGGGCAGGCCCTATGAGGAGAGGCTACGGGACCGAACCTGTTCAGCCTCCAAAAGAGAAGGCTGAGGGGGGATCTTGTGGCCTGTTATAAACTAGCCAGGGGAGATCAGCAGGCATCGGGGGAGTCACTGTTCCCCCAAGCACCGCCAGGAGTGACCAGGAATAACGGTCACAAGCTGGCAGAGGGTAGGTTTAGGTTAGATATCAGGAGGCGCTACTTCACAGTCAGGGCGGCTAGGGTCTGGAACCAACTTCCAAGAGAAGTGGTGCAGGCTCCTACCCTGGGGGTTTTTAAGAGGAGGTTAGATGAACACCTTGCTGGGGTCGTTTGACCCCAGTACTCTTTCCTGCCATGGCAGGGGGTCAGACTAGATGATCTGCTCAGGTCCCTTCCGACCCTAGAAACTATGAAACTATGAAGTAGTAGTACCATGACCTGCTGGGGGTGGGAGGGAGTGAGGGTCCCCTGTGAGACCCTGAGGCTCCAGTCATGGTGTGAGGTAACCCCAGCTCCCCATGTCTGTGGAGGAGGACCCAGAGAGGGGGACCCTGGGAAAAGAGTATGGGTCATACATCAGGGCCTGCCAGAGCTTCCCCTGACTGGCCTAGGCGGGGGCCAGGACCAGGAGGGTCAGAAGGGCAAGGAGGTCCACCGAGAGGGACGCGCAAGAGCCAGGGGCCTGGGATCCCGACTGGCCTGGAGGTGGGCCGGGGCTAGTGTGAGCCGAAGGTCCCAGTAAGGGGACCACACCTGAAGGGGAACCCCTGGCAGGAAAATATATGGCCTGGTATGACGGCGGCAGAGTCCGCTTGAAGGGAGGAACTCATTTGGGGGTCCTACAGCAGGATTTTGGGCCCCATCGTGGGGGACTGGCATGTATGAGAACATTGATGTCATGTGCGAGGCTTGGGCTACGGTGTAGAGGAGGAATGGAGCTGCAGATAGCGCCCCCTAGCAGCAGGGCAAAAAATGGGCAGCTTCCCGCTTAATTACATGTACTAATTAATCAATTAAGACCAAGGCGTGGCAGGTGAGAAGGCGGGCAGTTAGCCCAAGAACAGGTGGGCGGGCCATGTGGAGGTCAGCCCTGGTAGGCCCCCTTTTACACCCATTATGGCTATTATTTTGTCCCTCAGCAGAAAAGCCAGACCCTTTAGCTGAATGAGGCATTTTAGCACTGGGGGATACCTCTGTCAACACCTCTAGCCTTAGGTGTAGCAAATATCCAATGCTTCCAAGAAAGGTTTTAAAAAGCAGAGTCATCAGGGAGAGAGGGGGGTGTTCCTTGAAACCTTAGATGCCCAGATTTCTGCTTCTCACATCAAAAAGAAACCACTATACCTCAACATGGACGTAGTAAATGCTTGAATCAGTATATTATCTATATGCTGTTTATTGAGCTAAGAACATCAATCCATTAACTTTTTGAGTGTGATCTTTAAAACGGTTCTGGTTCTTTACCCCAGCTACTTTGCTTAAAAAATTACTTAAATACTTCATCATTGATAGTTATGTAAATCTAAATAGATAGTGAATCTTTGCTCATAATCAGTTTTTAGCCATTTCATCTTGTGCTTTTCTCTCTCTCCTAATGTTCACCCCTATGAAAGTATTTATAAAAGCTATTCCTGTCCACAATTAATAAATATTTGACAACTTAGGCCAAATTCTTCCACAAAGGAAGTCACTTTCTGAACTAATTATATTATTTACAAAACATTTTAACAATATAAGAAACACAAGCAA